CATTTCTCTCAATGTTTGCGGACGATGCAAAAATTATGAGAAGGATTAAGACAGAAGAGGATTGCTTGAGGCTTCAATAAGACCTAGACAAGCTAAAGGAATGGTCGAACAAATGGTTGTTAGAGTTTAACCCAAGCAAATGTAATGTATTGAAGATAGGTGTAGGGAGCAGGAGGCCAGATACAAGGTATCATCTGGGAGAGGAAATTCTTCAGGAGTCAGAGAAGGAAAAAGACTTCGGGTTTGATATCACGCCAGACCTGTCTCCTGCAGCGCATATCAAGAGGATAACATCAGCGGCATATGCCAGACTGGCCAACATACGAACGGCATTCAGAAACTTGTGTAAGGAATCATTCAGAACTTTGTATACCACATATGTTAGGCCAATCCTGGAGTATGCAGCCCCAGCATGGAGTCCATATCTAGTCAAGGATAAGACTAAACTGGAAAAGGTTCAAAGGTTTGCCACCAGACTAGTACCCGAGCTGAGACATATGAGCTACGAGGAGAGACTACGGGAATTAAACCTCACTTTGCTGGAAGACAGAAGAGTTAGGGGGGGCCATGATCACCACATTCAAGATTCTGAAGGGAATTGATAGGGTAGATAAAGACAGGCTATTTAACACAAGGGGCACATGCACAAGGGGGCACAGGTGGAAACCGAGTGCCCAAATGAGCCACAGAGATATTAGAAAGAACTTTTTTAGTGTCAGAGTGGTTGACAAATGGAATGCATTAGGAAGTGATGTGGTGGAGGCTGACTCCATACACAGTTTCAAGTGTAGATATGATAGAGCCCAATAGGCTCAGGAATCTGTACACCTGTTGATTGACGGTTGAGAGGCGGGACCAAAGAGTCAGAGCTCAACCCCTGCAAACACAACTAGGTGAGTACACACACACAAAATTTATATAGGAAAGTGAGCTTCAAGGTAATGTACTCAAACATCGATAGGATTACCAATAAAGCAAGTGAACTGGTGGAAAAGGCGCAAGAAGAAACCCCAGATTTAATACGACTCGCGAAAACAAAATTGTCAGGAGTCATAACAGATGCTGTGTTTCCGAAGGACTACTATATAGTAAGGAAAGAGAGGGAAGGGAGAGGAGGTGGAGGAGTGGCCCTGCTGATAAGAAAGGACTGGAGTTTTCATGAGATGGAAATTCCGAGCTGTGACGGATTCAGAGATTACATAACAGGAACTATAACAATGGGTGGACCTAAGATAATAGTGGCAGTCATTTACAACCCTCCCCTAAATGACAGAGAACCTAGACAGGAGTTTGATAGGAACAACATGGCAACCAATAATATAATAGAGAGAGCAGCTTCAGTTGCCTGCAGGAATGGATCAAGACTCTTTATCATGGGCAATTTCAACCATGGAAAGATAGAATGGAAGAATGGGGACCCACACGGTGGTGCAGATACACAGAGAGCTAAACTCTTGGAAGTGGCAACAAGGAACTTTCTGAGCCAGCACGTCAGGGAACCCACAAGAATGAGAGGAAATGACGAACCAGCAAGACTCGACCTGATATTCACCCTGAATGAGTAAAAAATAAGGGATGTCAAAATTGAGGCCTCCATATGAATGAGTGACCACAGTGTACTGACATTTGAGTACTTGGTGGAGGAAGGGATAACCTATCCAAGGATGGGATCGGAAAGGAAAGACTAAATTACCGAAGAGGAAAATATGACGAGATGAGGAACCTCCTCAGAGGAATACCATGGGAAACAGAACTTAGAGACAAGAATGTACAGGATATGATGGATCATGTCACCCAGAAGTGCCAGGAAGCTGCAAACAGGTTTATCTCGGTCCAAAAGGAGAAAAGCGAAAAGTAACAGAAGAATCCATGGTTCGAGAGATACCTGAGGGCCAGGAATGAGTACCTCAGAGTGAGGAGGAAAGCAGAGAGACAGTATGAAAATGACATCGCGAGTAAAGCTAAGACCCAACCAAAGCTGCTCCACAGCCACATCAGGAGGAAAAACAGCTGTGAAGGAACAAGTGATGAAACTGAGAAAAGGGGAGAACAGATACACAGAGAATGACAAGGAAGTGTGTGAAGAACTCAACAAGAGATTCCAGGAGGTCTTCACAAAAGAGCAAGAAGAAGCCCCTGCACTAAATGAAGAGCAGGCAAACCAAGCAACCTTGGAGGAATGTGACCTCACCAGTGATGAGCACAAAAGGAATCTGTTGGCGCTGAATGTGTCAAAGGCTGTTGGGCCTGACAGAATCTCACCATGGATACTAAAGGAAGGTGCAGAAGCACTAAGTGTGCCATTCTCTATGGTGTATAACAAGTCACGGGAAACATGAGACCTACCAGAAAGTTGAAAGACAGCTAACATAGTCCCAGTGTACAAAAAGGGTAACAGGCAAGAGGCACTGAACTACAGGCCAGTTTCCCTAACTTGTATACCATGCAAGGTGATGGAGAAGATCGTGAGGAAAAGGCTCGTAGAGCATCTGGAGGGAAATAACTTTGTAACGCACCACCAACATGGATTCAGAGATGGTAATTCATGTCTCAGGTTTAATAGAATTCTATGACTAGGCAACAAAAATTAGACAAGAAAGAGAAGGGTGGGCAGACTGCATTTTCATGGACTGCCAGAAAGCCTTTGACACAGTATCCCATAAAAGGCTGTTAAAAAAGTTGGAGCAACAGGCAGGAGTAAAAGGGAAGGTGCTCCAGTGGATAAGGGAGTATTTAAGCAACAGGGAACAGCGAGTAACTGTGAGGAGGGGAGACATCAGAGTGGTGAGATGTCACCAGGGGAGTCCCACAGGGCTCAGTACTTGGACCCATCCTGTTGCTAATATACGTAAACGATCTTCCGGAGGGTATAGACTCATTCCTCTCAATGTTTGTTGAAGATGCAAGAATTATGAGAAGAATCAAGACAGATGAAGATAGACAGAGACTACAGGATGACCTGGACAAACTGGAGGAATGGTCTAGAAAACGGCTGCTAAAGTTCAACTCAGGAAAGTGTAAAGTAATGAAATTAGGCGAAGGGAGCAGAAGGCTGATCATACGGTATCATCTAGGAGGTGAAATCCTGCAAGAGTCAAATAAAGAGAAATATCTGGGGGTTGATATCACACCGAACCTGTCCTCTGAGGCCCACATCAAAAGGATATCATCAGCGGCATAAGCTAGGTTGGCCAACAATAGAACTGCCTTTAGAAACTTGTGTAAGGAATCGTTCAGGATCCTGTATACCACTTATGTCACACCAATCCTGGAATATGCAGCTCCAGCCTGGAGTCCATACCTAGTTAAACACAATACAAATTTAGAGAAGATTCAGCGGTATGCCACCAGACTAGTCCCGGGACTGAGAGGTATGAGCTAAGAGGAAAGGCTGAAGGAGCTGAACCTCACATCCCTGGAAAACAGAAGAGTAAGGGGAGACATGATAACCACCTACAAAATTATCAGGGGAATTGACAGGGTGGACAAAGACAAACTCTTCAGCACGGTGGGACACGAACAAGGGGACACAGGTGGAAACTTAGTACCCAGATGAGCCACAGAGACGTTAGAAAGAATTTTTTCAGTGTCAGAGTAGTTAACAGGTGGAATACATTAGGCAGTGATGTGGTGGAGGCTGACTTCATACACAGTTTCAAGTGTAGATATGATAGAGCCCAGTAGGCTCAGGAACCTGTACACCAGTTGATTGACAGTTTAGAAGCGGGACCAAAGAGCCAAAGCTCAACCCCCGCAAGTACATCTAGGTGAGTCCTTGGCTGCATAGCTTCATGCCTGGAATTCATTGTTTATAAAGAATTGCAAAATAGCATTAGAACAGTCAGAATTGTATGGAAGAGGAGCCTAGAGGAGGCGGCAGCGGACACCCCCACACTTCACAACCTCTTGTGAGGAAGCATCGAGAGAAAACTACAGACTGTCGCAGTGTTTCATTAAGGTCTTTGGTCAGATGCTAAGACAGCACAAGGATAAGTTAAGTGATCAGATCAA